CAATATCGTTATTGGGAGGATCCTTTAAACCACCCCCAGCGTTATTGCTATTGGGAAGTGTATCAGCCAAGATGACTTCATCCACTTCTGGATCACTGTCATCTGCAATATTTTGATTGCGGCGGCTGGATTCAGTTCTTTGACTGGACTCGGGAGGTTGAGGTTGTTGAGTTAGCAACTCTCTCATTTGTTGAATAGCTAACCCCATCTCCGTCTTTATCTCAGCTCTAATTTCTTCACGTTGCTTTGTTAGAGCTTCCTGAAGTATTTGAGCAAATTGATCAGAGGTGATCGTGAGTACTTCTCTGGTTTGTCCTGTGCTAGACATTGTATCATCAGAAGCGATTGCAGAACAAGTGTCCGAGAATTCATCCTCCGAGGACATTCCTTCTTGAATTCTTTTGTAATCTCTTCGTCTGATGGCTCCTAATTGGAGTCGAGACATCCTTTGAGCAATTCTTGGATTGACTTTTCCTCTCGGGGAAAAATCGGATCTTGATTCACTCGAGTGCCATTTAGACTTCCTCTTGTCAGCCATATTGATGGTGACTTCAGGGAATTGATCATCTTGGGCAGCTGATTTTCTTTTGCGGAAATGTCTCAGCTTAGGCTTTGATAATATAGAGACTTTTCGTGGGATGATTTCTCGTTTGAAACAGTCACATTCTGATAATGCTGTTTTGACGAGTCGTGCACAGGAACAACGAGAGTTTATCTCTCGAATAACTCTCTTTCGAAAATTATTCACAACCTCAACTTGATAATACGATTCATCGGTATGATTGCCAAAAAATCGTATCGTCTGTTGGTATGATCTCCCAGGTATGACGATATCATTTGGTGAATGCGTCTTTTTCTGGGGGTATAAAACCTTGTTGGCATTCTCAGGACAATTTATTTTTGTCTTTGAGCGATCCAAGGTTATGTTGGGAGTCGCACGTCTAAAACCACCCATTTGCGGATATGGGGTCTTAACGGGCTCCGAATGCTGATTTTGCATAAGTCCAGACTTCAGAATCCAAACTTGGCGGAGTTTTGGTGATTCTTTGGTCACCGTTTCCTTCCTCCTTTCTCGTCTTTGTTGTAAGAGAGCACGGGCATGAACAACGTTTGCACGACGTTTTTGTATACGTTCTTGGAGGGTCGAACGAGCCCTTTTGACGAGTGTCCATTCCTCCGTTGTGAATTGTGCAGAAACGTGAGTAGTTCGTCGTTGCGTTGAACGAACCACTTGTTGTTTCCTCGACTCTAAATCCGCATAATAACGAACTCCGTCGGTTTGTTCAAATGCCTTAGCTATTTGACGAGCACGACGCTGACGCTGTCTCTGACGAGCTCTTTTCGTCAATGTCGTCGGGCTTTGATTCGATGACTCTTCAATTAGATAAGAGCCATTTTGAGCAGAGGTGTTGCGAGTGAAATTCTCAGCAACAATCAAGCGAGAGTCTTCATTTTGTGCCTTCTTTGGCATGCAACTCTTCCTCAATTGTGAGATCCTCTTGTACTTGCGAGATAATGAAGATCTTGAAGAGGATGATGAGAGATATTCCTCAAACTTGGTCTGGTCGAATTCGTATTCGACCATGGATTCAACTGGAATCTTGATCGGCTGCGACACGACGGTCTCGGCAGCGAGACCGTTGGCTCCCACTGTGGTCGCCAGCTTGTTTGAGTCAAAAGTTGGTTTTGTCATGGAATTCAGTCGATTGATCGGTCTAAAAACTCAGACGCTAAAAATTTGCTCTGATCGGTCGACTTATGAAGGTGTATCGGTCGACCGGTACTGTTCACAAAATACTATTCACCTAAAAAGCTGATTTTGTAAAATCAATTAAAAATAACAAATCAACTGTAAAAATAGTAGAACTTGGGAAAATATTTATATACATGAAAATAAACATGTTAAAAAAGAAAATTTTGAAATATTATTTCACATTTTTGAAAACTCATCTGGTTTGCAAAAACATCATGAAACCCAAAGATTTTCTAAATTCAATTAAAAATAATAAATTAACTCCAAAATTAGTAAAACTTGGGAAAATATTTATACACATGAAACTAAATATGTTAAATAAGAAATTTCTCAAATTATATTTCCCAAACATGAAAAACTTATTGTTTTGCAAAGTGTTCAGAATACAAAATTATCAAAACTTGATTTTGATAAAATCATTACAAACAAGTTTTAAAATAATTTCAAATAGATTTATAGACTTAATAAAAAAATATAAAATCATGTCGTTAAGTCTATAATCCAAAGACGGCGATAAAACAAAAAAACAAATGTGCGTGTATAGTTTGAGCTTTAAATATAACACATAAAGTAAAACCTAAACTACAAAATTATATACCCAAGCAATAGATCTTCAATTTCCTCGTCTTGGTTGCAGATGAAGCAATGATGAATCTTGACTTGAATGACGACGGTTTCATTCCTATTTTCCTTCCATCCTCCAATAGATATGATCATGTAGGATTAAGTCTAACCATCCTCCAACTAGGATCTTTGTGTAGAATACCTAACAAGCAAATACAAACACTCGACAAATGTTGTTAGAAATTAATTGTTAATCATCAAAACTAGACTATATAATAGGCTCATAAATATGAGACCTAACATTAATAATAAAAGGAAGTATACAATTGATTTCTTTGTACAATTCTTAAAATATGAGATGAAACCTTCAACAACGTGAACTCTCAGCCTTGTGCAACGACACATTAACTAATCAACTATAATATCAATAAGAACCATACTCGAATTAGGACAAGGCCCTTCACACCTTTGCAAATAGACTTGAAATAGAGGATAACAATTATAAATAAAGTTCTATTTAAATAATCTAATCTAACAAGAAAAAAATAACAAAGGCACATACCTATTGAAGGAAATAAAAATGATATAAAAGTAATTATAATTTCTTGATCTAAAAAATAAAACATACAAGATAATTAATTGTTGTAAAATAATCTAATTTAATCTAATAAGAAGAAAATAGACTTGATATTAGAAAAAAGATAATCTAACCTAATCTAATAAGAAGAAAATAATAGAGGCACATACATGTAGAAGGTGATGAAAGTGCTATGAAAGTTGTTCTAATTTCTTGGCTTATATATATTGGTATGTGATGTTACATATGAGAGGACAACAATTACAAACAGAGTTCTATTTAAATAATAATAGTATAATTTCTTAAACTTTGAAATACTATGTTTTTCACCTTACTTCATTATGTTAAATATTGTAATAATTTAAAATTAGTAACTCAGCATACTTTAAGAAAAGTTCAGCTTTGAATTGTAGGATTTCTATTCCTATCAGAACAGAGGACAACAATTACAAACAGAGTTCTATTTAAATAATAATAGTATAATTTCTTAAACTTTGAAATACTATGTTTTTCACCTTACTTCATTATGTTAAATATTGTAATAATTTAAAATTAGTAACTCAGCATACTTTAAGAAAAGTTCAGCTTTGAATTGTAGGATTTCTATTCCTATCAGAACATGTTTGGGATCAAAAGCATGGTTATGCATAAATATTTTTAAATAAAGGCACTAAATCCTATTGTAGGGTTTTTATTCCTATCAAAACATGTTTAGGGTCACTAAATCCTGTTGTAGGATTTCAATTCCTATCAAAATACGTTTAGGGTCAAAGCACGGTTATGAATAAATATTTTTAAATAAAGGCACTAAATTGAAGCACTAAATCCTATTGTAGGGTTTCTATTCCTATCAAGGATTTCTATTCCTATCAAAACACGTTTAGGGGCAAAGCATGATTATGGATAAATATTTTTAAATAAAGACACTAAATCCTATTGTAGGATTTCTATTCCTATGAATACACTTTTAGGGTCACTAAATCCTATTGTAGGATTTCTATTCCTATGAATACACTTTTAGGGTCACTAAATCATATTGTAAGGTTTCTATTCCTATTAAAACACGTTTAGGGTCAAAGCATGGTTTTGGATAAATAATTTTAAATAAATCAAGTTAGTCTTACTTAATGGATTAGTATTTTACTTTTCAAGGGTATTTTTGTTTACCAAAAGATTTTTCTAAACTCGTGCTTTTAAAGGTAGTATGATAATTCTTAGTTCAATAAATACTATTAAAATAATTATACTATCTATATACTATAAAATAATTATCTAATTTAATTTTTTTAATTATGCTATTAAATACTTTAGTACTATAAATACTTTATAAATTTTTATTATACTATCATTAACAATTAGTTGTATTATTATTAATATTAAATATTTTTATAAAGAAGGTTAGTTTTTAATCATCACTAAGTATAGATTATTCACTATCATATAATAATCTTTGAGAAAATATTATAAAAGGTAATATTAAATTATTTATTGAATTTATTCAATAATATAATAGTAACTAAGTAGTGAAATTCATAATTTATATGACATTATTAAAATAATTACACTATTTATGACATTAAATATTTACTCTATTTATTTTATTGCTCATTGACTTATTGCATAATTCTCAATAGTATTTAGTAATATATTATTTTATGTATACTATTATTTTAATTATTTTATTATAATTCAAAAATAATTATAATAATAATAATTTAATTGGTTACTATTAATAATTGTGTATACTTATTTTATAAATTATTTTATTATATTATTATTAAACAATTAATAGTTATAATATTATTAATAATTATAATTATTTACGAATGTGAGGAGGTGCATAATTAATAAATGGTTATATTTATTTAATGAATAATTAATTGGAGATAATGGCATAGTTAAAATTTATCAAAATTTGTGAGGGCAAAAAAGAAAACTAAAAGTTTTAACCCCCAATCCTCTTTTTATTTATAGTAGTATATATATAGATATGGATTTCTTTTATCAGTAAACCTTATTTTCTTTGGCAAACAAAACATTCCAAGCAGGAAAATCCCTATATTCCTCGTACCTCAACAAAAATTACGGCAACAGAAACAACATGAATATTCAAGAATCAAAGAGATTATCCCTCTTATAAACTAATTTAAAAATGTGCATACAATAAATAAAAATTAAAAATTAAAAATTAAAAATTAAAAATTAAAAATTAAAAATTCAACTGCAATACTTCTGATTTTTCCTTGATGACTACAAACCAGCATGCATACAAGGTGCTTAGATAGGATTGCAATTGTTTTATAATTAAACTCCGATCCTAACGAACAGTAGATCGCAAAACTGCAGCTTGGCTTCAGTAGGATTTGCCACAATGAATTAAACTTCCAGCTCCTAAAAAGAGCCCGAAGATTGCTGCACTTCCAAGAGTAGTCTGACCAATGTGTCTTATCTTCAAAAGTCCAGGAACCTGAAAAATGTATACTGATCGCTAATGAACCCCAAAATATAGTAAAATCGACATGATAACACAGGCAACTCAACAACAGAGAAGCCTTTATCTCAAGTTTTTCTGGGTCAGCCACATGAATATTGGGTGGAGACGAGATGTTGAATCTAAAGAAGTTAGAATTAGTAGAACAAAATCAGAATACATGAAATGTAAGTTTAGTAAAATTGTGAAGAGAATGAGCCTATAGTTCATACTGACCAATAGTCAAGACATATCTAAGAGTAATTAACTTGAGTATTTAGGATCAATCATTCGCTATGACAGAGAGATTGAGCATACATATGTTGTGACATCCTCCCTTGTCTCCACAAAACAGTGTGAATAACAGGCTGCTTTTATTCGCTTGAAGTTCAGACCCAACCAAGACATCCCTCCATGTGTCCCTAAAACTCTCTACTTAATCTAAGGTGGTTATTTGCGCTGAAATTCGAATTTTCAGATATTTAACACTATTATTTCTTCTACATATCTGCTTCATGAATAGCTCTGCATCGTGAGAAAAATCTTCCTAGTCATGTAAGTTAAATTGCATAATCTTCTTGGGGCTAAATTCCTGTGGTGTATCTTTCTTCTTAATATCTACAAATGTTTCCATTTAATAAAAAGGTGATGGATGTTTTTCATGTGCAAATTTGTATTCTCCACTCCCAAGAGGTGTAATTGTGTAATACATGCCCGCTAATTGAAAATTATATCAGGTGAACTGATAGCTAAATGATATATTGAAGGTCTAACCAATAATTAATTAGCAATAGATGTCCTCCAGTGAAAGCCATCTCATATTAATATCTAGATGCTAGGATGGTTTACTTGAATGACTAATTTGCCCTAGAAACATTTATCGAATATGTGCAGAACATATTCTTGTCTAAAGTAATATTTGGTTGGCATTACTAGCTGGCCTCGATTGAAGCGAACAGTTGGCTTGTACGACTACAAACTGGATAGCCAATTTAATTATAATAAACATCCAAGGTTATGCAGTAGTATAAGAAAATTACCTTATATCTGATAGCCTCATAAGTCCCGTAAACAGCACCTGCCAAGATATTAATCATCAAAAAGATCACCTTCAGCTCACATGCTTACACACATATACAAAAGAAATGAGCAAAGCAATTGGAATTATTCAGTGTAGATGCCCTCATACACATACACAAGCAAGAAAAGTGTTTCCGAACCCAAAAAAACAAAACAAAACAAAACACACATACACACACACATGATGGATAAAGAAACAAGGTTCCTTGTACAAATAAGTCATTACAAGTACAAGTAGAGCTGACTGAATATTGATATTAATTCATTTAATTGGACTTACGTTAGGGTTATCCTAGATTTTTTATGGTCAATGTCAGCATTGAGGACCAAATTCTTTTTTTCTTTCTTTATCATGAGATTACCAAACGCTTAGATTTCAAGCTAATAAAAATAGATGAGGAGAAAATTATAAGATGAAAACAAAACTACATATTTAATTTTAATATCCCATGGGTGAGATATAAGCCGAACAGGACAGGGAGATCTTAAATTTATGCAAAGATGAATTACAAAAGACATGTTTTTTCAAGAGTGGATTATAGATGAAAAAACTTCAAGGGTTTTCATATTGATATATTAAAGGAAAATAGAGACGAGTTCTCAATCAGATTCCCTATAGTTGTTGTTAGCAAATTAGCAATGTATAAGAAATTCGGAAGAATATTTGAGCGGAGAAAACAAAGTCTTAATCGAAGAACTAAGCTACAAGTTATGAGCTATATCTTTTTACAGGGGATCACGCTGCAAGTATATTTGATTCAGACGTTGGAAGTCTGAATGCGAATCGTAATGTTCGCAAAGGATTACGAGCACGAGACCCTAAACTTCAAAGACGACGGCTCTTCTACTTTCGTAAATGAAGTTAAGAAAAAGGCGTGCGTGATGAGTGAAACCAGGTGGAAACTTTTCCAATTTCAATCGACATAATTTTCCTTGCCCCTCCAGGTGCCGGAAAAATTTCGAGTCTTGGCTTATGCTATTTCTAAGAATAAGAGCCCCTGCCTGTCTCCTAGATTGACTCAAAGTAGCAGTCTTGTATGCCTAAATTCATCAAGACCGTAATTGATTGTAGAAGCAGGGGGAGTACGCTAATGAATTAGCCGGAGATCGCAACAACCACAATGACAACAACATCCTTCATTTGATAGGCTACAGGTTGTCAGTTTTCGCAGTATCTAGCTTGTTATTTTGATTCTGTCATTCGTAAATTCACATAAAAAGCTCACAAACTCTCTTTTTCATCAGATAAAAAAACACCATCTTGCATATCAGAAACTGATTAAATCGGTCAAATTTCTCTATTTCGTCAGATCGATTTAGGTAAATTAGGGTTTAGAGAGAGAGAGAGAGAGAGAGGGAGTACCGACTGCTCCGCCGACAGCCCCACCGACGGCAGCGCCCGCGGTGATGCGAGCCAAGCAGCTGTCTCTCGCCATTCAAATTTTTCTCCGATCACTTGAACGGGAAAGGAGATTTTTTTTTCTTTTTTTTTTCTTCTTTTTTCCTTTTTTTTTATTTGGAGTTTTGGAGACCTGTAGTATTTGAGAGCGGGTGGCGTCCTTGGAGAACAAGGCTAGATTTTGACTTGAAAAAAAAAAATAAGAAAACCGATTTAAAACTCGCGGAGTGCGTAAATTACTGAGATAATAAAAAAAGGACCTGAGAAAAATATCTACTTTAATTTACTCTTTTCATGTGAATCTAAAGGACAAATTTTTGACAACACCCAAATTTTAAATTTATATAGCAAAATCGAACCTTTCTAAAAAAAATAGCAAAAACGAAGTGCCGGTTTTGCTGAGGAAGTGTTTTCAAACTGCACGGGACTAGCAGTCCCGTGCATTTCGTTTTCTTTTCGAACTGCATGGGATTAGTAGTCTCGTGCATTTCAAAACTATTTGTTGAGTGCAGTGCGAAAAGAAAACGAAATGCACGAGACTGCTAGTCCCGTGCAGTTCGAAAAACTCTTCCGCAACAAAACCAACCCTTTTCATATGAAAAGGGTCAGTTTTGCTGATTTTTTTCAAAAGGGATCGATTTTGCTATATAAATTTGAAAAATGGGTGTTTTCAAAAAATTGTCCGAATCTAAACTATATAGGAATTCATGTTGTGCAAATTTACCATCTCTAAGGACCTATTTGCTATAAGCGCTAGCGCATGTTTTCTTCAGTATTTTAGATAAAAATG